GTAAATGCGCAATAAAGATAACGATTTCTTATGATTTCCTTTCAGTTTTTACAGTAGTTGGTACGTCAGAAATATATACATTTTACAGGTCATAAAATTTCTGTACGGCTCGAAGGAGTTGAATTCGAATTCAAATCCCGCACGAAACAAGTATTATGTATATATGGTATATATGGCCTATGAATAATTGTTCGAGGTCTAAATTGTTATCCATGTGCAATTTATGTACGTAAACTGCCTTCACGATGCAGGAGAAAATACTAGCATTACGTGTAGTGTAACATTAAAAAAAAATCTACAATAATATCATTTGAAAGTTATTTCGGCTATTTACTAAATAGTAGGTTGATCAACAAGTTTTGGAAACGCAATGAAACTCTAGGAGGATACGTACATATATGTAAATTTTATTTATTTTTCAACGTTATCGTCTTTTAAGCTAAAACAATTGGAATAGTGTTTGGCATGTTGGTTACAACACACATCACCTCATCGTCGCCGTCAAATTTTATACCACGCAAGTGCTTTTTCAAGTGAGTAAAAACTCGGAGATAGGTCCGGAGAATATGGTGGGTGCTGCATCAACTGAAATCCAACAGTTCGGATGGGAGCGTCTGCAACATCACATCGATGGGCGGGGGCATTATCATGACGACAAAGCACTCCAGCACGCAATTTTTCTCGACGTCTATTCTTTAGTTCTTTGCGTAGTTTTTGGATTAATGATTTGTCATAATCTCCTGTTATTGTCTCTGCTTTTATTAAATAGTCGATCATTATTACACCTTCCGCATTCCAGAAGACAGAGGCCATTATTTTTCCAACGGACGCAGACGTCTTGAATTTCTTAACTGGTGGCGAAGACGGCTTTGGTTTTTTCTCTCCGGGTCAAAAACCAACTCCCAGCCTCCTTACCTCCCAACGGATAGGTCTTAAGATGAACATGGACAAAGCAAAGATCATGTGTTCAACGTTCATGTCACACCTATGCCGGAAGCACTGAACTCGAAGTTGTTGACGAGTATGTTTATCTGGGACAAATAGTCCGACTAGGTGAGTCCAATTTCGAGCGAAAAGTCAATCGACGGATTCAACTCGGCTGGGCAGCGTACGGGTGATTACGACACATTTTCTCATCAGGCATACCTGAAAACTACGTGCGTGTTGTCAGTGACGATCACGCTTGACTGATGACCTTATGAAGAAGCTCAAAATCGCTCAGCGAGCTATGGAGAGAGCTATTCTTGGTCTTACTCTGGGTGATAGACTTAAAAACAAGGATATCCGCAGTACAACCAGACTTACTGACATAGCCCAACGGATTAGTAAGCCTGTGGATTAGTAAGAATATTTATGCCTGAATTTTTTTTCTGGAGAATTGCAGTCTACTTTGGAAAACATGTATACTGGTGAATTTAAACGCGATAGAACCGCCTGCATTAGTGACTCTCGCTCCGGGTGGTCAACAATGGCCGCTATGCAAGAAAATGTTAAATCGAAGAAACTGTTAAGGTAGATCGACTTGTAACCTAAACTAAAGTTTTCGTTTGAGACATTGCAGTTTATTTTAACTCATAACTTAAAATTCAAAAAAGTGGCCGCACAACGGCTTCCTCCAATGTTAACAGACGTACAAAAGAAAGCAAGAGTTGATTGACATTTCAAAGCTTAATTTTACAATAATTGAAGAAGATCCTAATTATTTTTGAGCTCGTTTCGTAACCGTAGTTGAAACGGGTGTACGCCATTTTGAATTGCTATTGAAGTCATAGTGCTTAGGTCCTTCAGCGATTCTGCAATGAGTGCTATATTGTCGACAAATCGAAGATTAGTGATGTATTCGCCATTGACGTTAATACCGTATCCTTTCCAGTCCAGTAGCTTGTAAACGTCTTCCAATGCAGCGGTGAAGAGTTTCGGGGATATAACGTCACCCTGTCTTACACCTCTCTGCAGTTGAATAGGTTTCGTACTCTGCTTCTCAACTCATATAGCCATCTGTACAAACACTTCAATATATCGACAATCAACTTGCTACCGCTGAAGGGACTACAGCACCGCCCAAATTTCAACGGAATCAAAGGCTTTCTCATAGCCTACATAAGCAAGGTCTTCTGTACAATTTTCCGAAGGGTATGTATGTGGTCTATAATACTAAAGCCTTTTCCTCTCTCTTGCAACAAACAAAAACAGCACGTAGACGCGGCTCAGAAGAGAAATCGATCTGCAATTCTTCAACAAAGATCTCCATTGTTGCTATTTTGGCCAATATTTATGTATTATTTTTTTCGTCTTTTCAAAGTTTTCATGGCTATCGCTTGACCTAGTGGTAAGAGTATATGGCTTATATGCTGCGGGTGCTAAATACAGATCCAAGCTGAAACCACTTGTGTAATACAAAAATACATTTCGACATTTTATAACACACAGAAATGCAGTTTGTAATAAATATGGAAATAGCTAACTCACTTTTATTAAGAGATAATGCTGGACCGCATATTGCAGCTATAGTCTTGGGTAACCTTAGGAAGGTGAAAATCGAGGTTAACAAGACCAAACTTAGCAGAACTAAACCCATTAGAACATTTTTAGGATAAACTGGAAACACAGTTTAAATAAAGCGATGCAGTAAGAGGTAACAGGATTGTCATATTCATGCAATCCTGTCCATTCATTGGTTATCTGGAAGAAATTGCTATCAGTAATAAGACCGCCCATTGCATACTTCTTTTATATATATAATTTCTGTAATTTATGTATGATGTGCAATAAAGAATATTAAATAAATAAATAACCGAGAGATCTCAAAAATTGCCGTATTGGTTACAGAATGGATCCTGATAACACGTAGTTTATATGATGATTTAATAAAAATATGTCCAGATGGATGCATTCAGTTTTTGCAGCTAGACGATGTATTATATAAACGTGTATGCTACAGTTGTAAAAATGTTAACCACTTGAACATTATGATCATTTTCCTTACATTTACGGTATTTATTATTTCTGATTGGTTTTTGTTTATTTATCTAGAATGTATTTTACTCATTTATTTTGAGATATATATTACTTTAAAATAAGCTATTATTATAAAACTGAAATGAGAAACGAATTTACTTTCCACCTGACGGTAATTGGCTACTGAAACCCATGGGCAACTTGCAACTAATTTCAAATAAAGAAGGCGTAAATAAACGTAGTCATAACGTAGTAGTAAAGTAAAAAGATAAAATTCCAGATTTTTTTTTTGTAACTCTGATGTATTTCTAGGCATTGAAATGAGTGAGTTCTACTACATAAATGTCCCTAATGCCTATTCCTTTGTTATTTGGTTTTCGCTTGCAGTAGATTATCGCAGTGTTTCTAGCAGGGCACTAGTAGTTACATCGATACGGGTAAATTCTTCGTTATCAATTCGTTTATGATCGAATTCGCGTACACTTATAGCAAATAAGTTCTGAACAATTGATAGTGTTTAGATTAAAATTGTTTTTTGTTTTTCTGTCGTAGAATAAGATGGAACTCTCGGTGTTTTGTATTGTATTACGTAGTTTTTAGCCACTTGTGTATCAAATAATGTATAATATTAACTCAACATAGACACACCGCGATATTATTTGCAACTATAGCACCGTTTACTTTTTTAATTTGAAGAATCATATTATCAAGAAAAATAATGAATTAAAAAAATACTATATGTAGGAAGTTCCACAAAAACGCAAAAAACGCAACGCAAAATTAGTAAGAGCAATGCTAAACTAATTAATTATTAACTTATTATTCCGTTATGTTTTCTTATATTTACACAAATACTACACATTAAATGAAACTAATTTTACGGATGTAATCACGTTTAATTTAACTTTTTAATTCCCGGTGTCACGGGGGAGTCTGAGATGTTTGACCTCCCGATGTCATAGTGAGCCCGGCTACCTTGAGTTTTTGAATATTAATTTTTGGTCACATCTACGCAGAATGAGCTTACAGTATCTTGAAGTCTTGCAGTAGTATGCTTGGGTTTGGATTTAATTTTATTAATTATGGAATCCTAAGTAGATGGCAGCACCCATCCATCTTCTCTCCTCGTAGGGGGGATATTTGTCATAGTCGCCACGCTTGGCAAGCACGTTGGCAACCGAAGTTTTACAAATCACAAATTAAGACAACACAAGCATCATCCCTGTGAATATATTATCGATTTAAGTTATAGCCTTTATTCCTGGAGCGAGTAATTGAGACAAGGAAATGTCTTCTGCGCTGCGCCAATGCGTGTTGAGAATATATTTTTTAATTTTTCAGTTTTTCAGATATAATATAATATTTTATGAGGACATTATGTAAATTCCATACAAACTTTTAATGTAACACCTACTTTATTTAATAAACTTAATTAATTGTAATAATTATTATGAAGTTGTTAACCAATAATGTAGCATTCATTACTGTATTACAAACAAATTTATTAGCACTGTTGTAAAAATAAAATGCTAGAAAGTAAATAATAATATGTCCGACGGTATCTGCACCAGAAATATTTGTGTCTAGACTAGCAATAAAATTATTAAGCAACCATCCACCATGTTATTCAAGTATTCACTTGATGGAGCGGAAAAAGTTATACGTATGCTTCAAAAGCTCTCGGAGTAGAGTTAATAGTGTTAATGAGGCTGTGAAGAGCTTGAGACGTCATCAAGTAAGAAGACGCTGGCGCCGCTCAAACCGCATTCATATAAACGTGCAGGCCGAGCGCGCGCCAGTCAGTGGAAAAAGGTTAGCGTTCCGTTCGCGTCGTCACTTGCAACTTGCAAGGCGCTGTGCGCATGCGCATCCCGGCCCTGGCGCCAGCATCGCGGCTTAGATTCTCCCGAAAAAATGTTGCATCTCACACAATACTAAGTCTTCGTGTTTGAAGCTACAGACGTTCGGACTAGCATTTTTAATTCATATTCATTTCGTTTCCTTTGTTCACTGATAACAAAGAATTGAAAAAATAAATAAAAATGGTCAGTGGCAACAAAGATCCAAGCGACCCCATGAAAATACCGCCGAAGAATCGTGAAAAGAAGACCAACAATTACAAACGGGCAAATGTTGTGTCACGAGCATGGTTCGTCTGGATGATGCCAACGTTTTGGCGCGGCTACAAAAGAGAACTCTACGATTCCGATCTCACAAAACCCAAAGATAATCACTTGTCGGATAAACTCGGCGACCGTTTGGAAAAGTAAGTGACACTATTAATTTTTTTTAATGGTAATAATTTTGGCATCGTATAATAGTGTCGGGCTTAAAATCACAATGTGTGTATAAGCAATTCATAAATGGTTGACCTTTAATTTTGCGAGGTGATGGTTTAAAACAAATTTATATTTGCAACTATGGAAGCGCCGATTCAATTTTGTATGTGCACCGCGTCTTTCGGTGCTCGTCTCGAAACCCACTTACAACCGTTGAGCAATTTCATTCTCACTCTGCATATTTTAACTTAATTTACGCTCGAGTCCAACCAATCTAACGCTGAAAGCAAAAGTTGAAAACTTTTACGAGATGTGTTATATCTCGTAAAAGTTTTAACTGAAAACAACATCATTCAACACCATTTATTACATTTAGGGTGTTCTAATGCTACGTTTTCTCCAGCGACTACACTTTTGTTTTGAGAACATATTCAAATGTAACGTTTCTACAAACAAACGAATTAACAACTACTAACAGAAGGCTAAAGCGTATATGTATACCATTCAACCATTGTTTAAACATAGCGTCCGTCCTTATAAACAAAGATGGGATCCACGCTGCTAGTTTTATACGATATTTTCTTATTTCTTTTAGGAATTATATTATCATTATTTTTTCTGTACTTGAAATCTTTATAACTTTCTAGTTAAACTATTATAAGCAACAACTAATAATAAATATCTAGCAACAGGTAGTTTGTCTATACTTTAAACTAATAAAGCCTTTATAATTCATAAATTAATTATTGTTAGCATTACTCATGATTCGTGTATTCTAGGTTTTTGACATAGATTCTTTAGTTTCTTCTATAAACAAAGTTCTGTTTTTTTTAATAAGTTCTATTGAAGCCTAAAAAGTCCACCACTAAGCCTACAGATTGCCTTTTAGGAGGGATTTTGCCATAGTTGCCACAATGGCGGACAGATCGGCGAGCGCAGTTTTTTACTATTTTGAGTTGATATTAATAAAATGCTTCATTACTTATATCGTCTCCTATCTTACGCCTTATATCACCACTACACGGTTTATAAATTATCGTCCATTAATGAAATTTGAAACTACTAAAAGGACTTTAATTTTCTTCATTCAAAATTCAATCCCTTTTAAATTTTAACCCCCGACTAAAACAGAGCGGTGTTTTAGTCGGGGTTGTTTGTTTGTAGCATGTATCTGTATATATATATATATATATATACACACATATACTTAATGGAATTTACAATAAAAAAAGAAAAGCATTAAGTAAAATATGTCTTATAGAAAGCAATATTTAAATAATCTGTGCTTATAAGCTAAATAAAATAGCTAAAAATTTTCATTATTATATTCTGTAACAATGAGGGCTAATCTTCCGCTTACCAGATGTCGCAAGTTGACATTGAGGTGAAGTTTTTTGTTGCACAACGTCATTAAATTGAGAAAGTAGTTTTAAATAATATTTTATCAATATTAATACACAAAACAATGCTTCAGTGGTTTGCTCTTTGATTTTTTGTACATTTTAACTCTTTGTTTTAATATTTTACTATTATGAATATCTGTGGTTTGGTTTATTTCTTTTTAATCTAAATATAAAAATAAATATAACTAATAGTGCAGAAAGAAACATTAACCTTAACATTTTTCGAACAAAACTTCCCCGCTATGAAATCTGCAATATATTCCACCTCAATTTTAAGCGGCACCCTGGCCACAGAAAAAGTCGTGGATTATAATAACATTCAATTTAAACAAAAGAAAATTGATTTCACTCATTTGTTCAATGTGTGTGATTAAAGGCAGTAAAATCTAAAAAGAAAACGTTTCTTTATTTCAACACTGAAATCAAAAAAAAAACTTTCGCTATAATGAACAACAAGAAGCTAAAAAGAAGAAAGCAGATACTTATATTTAGGGGAAACGGGGGGAATGGCCTTCATCAGGCAACCGCTCACCCAAATAACTTAATGCCGTTTGTGCACAGAAACACTTCACGAAGTGCTTGGTATGTGACGCATGAGCAGGTAGTAACAAGTAACTCCAGTCTGCTTGCAATACGCAAAATTTATGTGCATGTGTTTGTTTGCGATCTATCACCTTTGCTGAATGTTCTTGTATACAAATCCAGAATTTGATTACTAATTTATTGATGGTATTGTTATTCTAGTAACGTAAATTCTTAAATAATTGTACAATACAAAACTCTTTATTGTACTCCAAGAAAAGATAAAAATAACAACAAAAAAATAAACAACTATTGAGGGAAATACAAATATCTGTATATTTTTTATTCTCAACTCTGATACAAAACCATATTTTGGGGTTATGCCGCTCAAGTGAACGCCATTACCCCTTAGTGATGAGTTTATATATATATATATATATATTTTTTTTTTAACAAAAACGGCTTGGATTGAAGAAGACAGCGAAAAGAAATAACCTTCTATTCACTACGTCAAGGGATAGACAAAAGAATGAGCTAATTAGTAGTCTACGACTAGGTTATAAGCTGGTCGATAAGAAAACGACAGGAAAATATTACAAACTCATCTCAGAGACTGAAGATGAAGAACATTCTTTGAAACAATTACAGTGATGATGAAATGGACGTGGAGGATGAAAACTTGAATAAATGCAATCTTTGCGAAATTTTTTAACGTAATAATGAGATGTGGTACCACAGTACCACCATACCACATGCAGACTGTGGTCTCATCTCATGCCACTTGCTCTGAATAGGATTTTATGTGATGTATCTGTGATTTATGTGTCTAATATTAAAGTCTGATGATTAGGCATAGTTGTTACTTCTAATAGGGAAAAATTATGCTTAATTGTGTTCGGTAGTCTTTAGTTGTTTAATGGTTGATTTCTCATGTATTTGATTATTGAAAATTAGAGCATCATTAACCCTAAGCCTGAGCTGTACTTTTTTTACTTGTAAGGCTTACTGATCATTATTGAAAGTATCCTTTTATTATTTTTTCGTTTTTTTTTTAAACAAACTTTTTATTGAAGTTATACTTCTTTTGGGGCGTTTGGGAAAAATTATGAGAGTGAATTTTTTACGATGCGCGCGCACAACGACATCTAAAAACGACACCATGAAGTTATTACGATGCGCGCGCACACTGACACCTAAAAGCGACAACTTCAGTAGGTAATTGTCTCTCAAGTTTTTTTTTGTTTTGTTACGCTAAAGAAGTATAACTTCCTACGTACGTACATAAGTACACACACACTTTTTTTTTCAAAAATAGACCGCTTTTCACTTGAGTGAACGGCATTCTCTTGCTTCCTTATTTAAAAAGTAGGTACCTACAGTTAACAAACTCTTTTAAACCTTGCCATCTCCTACATTTTTCCGTGAGTCATTTTTACAGAAAAATTGTGCAGCTCTTATAAATAGTCTAGCGTTGCATACCACGATGCCATAAATAAAAAGCTATAAAGAATTCCTTTCTCCCTAGTCTATTTATAAACAGGCAACTATTACATTACTCGCATCGGGGTGCGTTTACCTTAAGGCTGCACGTTTTTATAATATAAAGCATTATAATGCTGGTTGCAAACTTTATATAGCTCACTCATTAGCCGAGAACAGGTCTGCAATCCCTTTTTCCCTCGGGCTCTAGACTGACAATTTCATTTTTATTAGTGCAGCAATATAGACGCCCTCTTTTCCTTGCTAATAAGTATTCCTTTTTCGATAAGCCAGTATAAAACGTATCATTAAAATTTACATTTGAATGAAAACGACCGATCACTTCACCAAAAATGTCTATTTCTTTGGTACTCTCTGTAGCCTAAACGGCTTGATAGATCTTAACATATATAAATAAGGTGTCGTTAAATTCGTCTTAATTATTAGGAGTAAAAGGTTTATTCAGTAAACCTTTTAACGCAATCGGGTTTTTTATTTACTGTTTTAACCATTAAGCTTTTTAATTTAACTACTTTTTTTATTCTATAACCTTAAAATCTATTCGCTATACTTCTTAAGTATTCTGCCTCCCTAGAACTCCATTCTTAAGGAATATTTGTAATACACGAAGTATTATTTTATTCAGTCTATATTAATTTAGTATTTTTACAAAATATTATAAAATTTGTAAAAATAAAAAAATATTAATTTTATAAAATTAACAATATTCACTGCAATAAATATGATTGTATATTATTCTCTTAAATCTTTGTGGTTTAAGATATTTATTTCTCAAAAAGAGTACAATGCATTCCCTTACATGAGAAACTTAACTCAGCGGACACATTTATATCACAGTATTACTGTAAACATTAAAAACCAAATGGGACGGTAACTACACTCTTATAAACATTAAAGTTATTAAAAGGGATCGAAGGTAGTTCATAATCACAGCCATTACGACATATAAAGATACATACAATAAAATCAAACAACTAAATAGATATACCATAAGCGTAATGTGGAATGTGGTATTGTGTCTTATATCATAATATACACGATTTTACTATATTTATGTTTGTTTATGAGTTTTTATAAAGACGTACAAATAGTTTTATATTTGTAATTTAAAAGTAAACCTTACGTCATGGGGCGGGGGTATTTAATTCTGTGGAGAGATGTCGTTAATGATCAAATAATTATGGAGCATATGCTTAAAGATTTGCAAGTTTTTTGCTTCATTGATGCTATTTGGTAATTTTTTGTAGATTTGCGTACCTTTTTTCCCGTAGTTCATCCGCGGCAACCATAATATAAAGTTTTTTTATTCCTCAGACGCTTAAGTTGTAGATGTTCATTTCTTGCTTCGAATTTAATATTGGTTTGAATTTATTTGGTTAATATTTTCCTAATACATGTGTAGCATTTATAAGTTTAATCTATATCCATTATTTTTGTTTTGTTATACAGTTTTAAAGTTGGCGTTCAATAATCATAATGAAATAATCTTTTTAGTAATTTGTTTTTTTCAGTCTGTAATATTTTAAGATTAGTTCTTGCTGTAGAACCTCAGATTTCAATCA